TCAACCTCCATGCTGGCCAGGGAATTCTGGGAGTTGAAGTCCACAGGTCTTAAAGTTGCCGAGGTTGAGAAACACTGCTTTAATGACTACACCACACTGGCTCTGGGGCTACTATATCTGAGCTGCAACAATGCAAGTGATCACTAGATGGTGGGAAAGAGTTTTCGGTATCCTCTTGCTGTCCTCTAGCGGTTATCTAAGTTTTTGCAGCCCAGACCTGGGAACCTTATTAAAGCAGAGAGTGACCTAAATGATCCCTGTGGATTTTCAGCGAGGGCGAGGCAGGCAGAAATTCCCTTTACCCTTGAAGACCGTGAGTATGATCTAACACCACCTAACATGGATTCAGATTCAACTCACAACCTCCATCCTGGGTCTCCCTTTGTGTTCCAAGTCTCATGGCTTAAACGTCTGGTGGAAATTTTGCCCTTATTGCCTCCCCCCCCGCCCCAGCCCTTGTTCTCAGGAGCATCATCCCTGATGAGTATTTCCCCAGAATGCCGAAGCTTGTATCTTCTTTGGTGTCTAAGGAAGACCAGCTCTAGCTGACAGCTTCTGGTTGGTGATGGCTGATTTGGAAAAGCTAAGCGAGTTCAAATGTGTTAGTATTTGGAGGGGATACCATCAGGAAATCTCCAATCTGGAGGCTAGACTGGGAAGTCATGAAAATGTCCCAGAAGAAGAGAATGGGACATATCTATGCAGTTACCAGCAGTTGAGGAATAGAAAAATAACTTGCCACAGCTTTCTGCCACAATGCTTTGAATTCCCAATCTAGCCTCCAGCCCTGGGATTTCCTAGTGGTCTCCCATCTAAATACTAACCAAGCCTGATGCATCTTAGCTTCCCCCCCCCCCCAAGATCAGCCAAGGTTGGCTACCTGCTGTCACCTGCTGTATTAAATGCTGGTGGTTTCATAAAAATGGGATGGGTTAATTTCTGGCTTTTTGAGGGAGTCCCAGCCTGTAATTCTGGAAGATCCACTCCATGGCAGCAGCTTCCTACTTATGCCTAGACCTAACCCTGTCTTGCCTCCTTTGTTTTCACAGAGATATAACTGAGGGCGTTCTGATGTCCAGAAACTAACCAAGACATTTCAGTGATGTACATACAAGTCAGATGCATTCACCCATCATGATAAGCTTAATTTGATTTATTCATGGGTACGTGCTGCATGAAGAGTACTCCGTATTCATAATACATGCGTTTATATATATCACAAGAATCTAAAAAAATGGGTTAATTCAGGACCCAGATTAAGCATGTCACGTGAAACAGACACACAGAGTAAAATAACAATCAGTTGTTGCCCTGACAATGCCGGACATCAGAAAACAGTATTCTGTTGGTCAACTTTTGATCATCCAAGGTAGGGGTCAGCAGTCAACCTTGGTCTAGCCCCGCCTTGCCTCTGAAGTCCAAGGTGTCTGCAGGAGAGGTGGCACAAACAGTGCATTTGAACCCCCCACCTCACCCCAAAAGGTGCCCACTCACCTGAATACCCATAGGGCTCCCGGGTTCTCCCAGCACCAAAGATCCCATGGGGAGGGTCCAGCAGGGGCTCGAAGCGAGGCTTGCTTGGCGTATAGGTACTGATGTGTTCGGAGCGGAAGGTGGACGAAGAGCTCACAGAAGACATGGCACCCGGGGTCCACAGCAGCTGCTGGGTGTGCACAAGGGCCTGTGTGAAGAGGCAGGAGGAGAGGGCACGTCCTTGGCCAGGCAAAGCTGAGATGCCCATAATTGGCTTTCTCGCAATGTCCTCTGCGTCCCATGCACTGGAATGCAAGATAAGGACGCTGCCGTTTCAGCAGCAGGGAGTGGAAAGGGAGAAGCAGAGCAGAGCAGCCCCCCTCCCCAAGTCACCTGCATTGGGATGGCTTTGGCCAGAAGATGACGTGTCTGTCCGGAAACGGAGAAGCTGCTTACAAGCCGAAAAAGAATTTCTCGATTTCAGCCTCCGGGGTTCATATTAAGGAGGCATCGATCCCGAGGTTGCATCGTCAGGCGTGGCAAAAAGGCTTCTCTGAACAGGGAGGTGGGGGGGGTCTCCAGAGGTTGGTAACAGCAGCCTCGGCAGCCCTCTCTGCTGGCCATACTTTTAGGCTTGGTAGCCCAGCAGTTTCTGGAGGCGCCCAATCCCAGATCCTGGCCTTATAGGGGAAGTGCTCCAGACACTCCCAGTTGTGGATTTCGGAAGGAAGCGAAGCAGGCAGGTGGCAGCTTGCCCACACTTGGCACACTAGTGTGGGATGAACGACTAGGCCAGCCTCCAACTCATAACACGGGACCATCCCAAAAGGTTTGGCAACCACGTTGACCATTCCAGCATGTCAAAAAGAAATTTTGGGATTAGGTAGCAGCAACATCCAAGGTGACAGGCCAGTGCTGGCTCCTCTTGTGCCAGTTGCACTCCGGCAGCATTCATACGAGACATTTAACCTGGTTACTGAATGAACCTATGTTTGGAGTTTGCGCAACATACTGAATCATAAACTGACTGAACAGCCTTGGTTCAATCAAAATGGAAAGCTAAAAACCCTGAGTAAAGTTAAAGCTAGCCAAGACTGACCAGGTTAAATGTCTTGTATGAATGCTGCCGGAGTGCAACTGATGCAAGAGGAGCCAACGCGGGCCTATCACCTTGGATGTTGCTGCTACTTAATCCCACTTTCCCACTTGATCTGGTTAAACATGCTGGGTAGTTAACCTGCCATGCAGATTCAAACTTGATGCAGTTATGTGGATGTCGTGTGAACACAGTGTCTTTCGGTCACATGAACATGTATACACTTGCCTGACTTGCTGAAAACTCAGTTAAAGACCCAGCAGCTGCATTCATACAAGCCAAGCTTAATTAGGATTACTTGTGCATAGCTGTTCTGTGGATTGGGGTGTGGTGCAGTGTGTTTTCCCCTCCCTTTTGCAAACCCAGAAAAATTGGTTAATTCAGTAACCTGGTTGAATGTGTTGTGTGAATTTACTATTTACTTTCATTTGAAGTTGGCTTGGGAGTAGGACTTGTGAGAAAGATCTTGGGATCATAGTTGATTAACAGCTGACTATGAGTCGGCAGTGTGATAGGACTGCAAGAAAGCAAATTTGGTTTCCCTCAGCAGAAGCATACAGGTAGTCCTCATTTAGTGACTGCCTCATTTAGTGACCATTCACAGTTACAACAGTGATGAAAAAGTAACTTTGAGACCAATCCTTGCATTTAGACCTTTGCAGGTCTGTATAGCAAAGGAAACTAGGCCTTATGAAGAATGGAGGAGCCAGAAATGTTTGATCTTGAAAAAAGACAAGGAAGAACATGATAGCCTTTTCTGAAGGCCTGGAGGGATATCCCCCAAGAGAAGCTCAAGAGCTAATCTCTTTCTTTCCAGAGCGCAGGACATGGACCAGCGAATTGAAGTTACAGGAATGCAGGTTTTGACTGAATGCTAGAATAATCTTCTCCATAGTAAGAAAAGACACTGAGTGAAACCATGATCAGAAGGATACTGCCCTTTCTCTTATTGCAGTGCTTCCCAAACCTTGGTCAATTACCCAAAATTGGGTAAAAGTGTTTTTTCTTTGGGTAACAACACACAAATCCATTACCCAATCCCAACAGGGACATTTAAATTGACTTAAAGATTGCCACATGTACTAAAATATATTCAAAAATCTCCCGAAGTATTCCTATGGAAATGAAAATTGATGAAATTAATTTGTTGAAATGATATAAAGATCATTCAATGATATTGTTTTTTTACTACAGGTAGTCCTTGAGTTATGACCTTTTGTTCAGTGACCGTTCCAAGTTAGGGTTTTGGGTAATGAAGGAAAAAGTTCGGGAAGCCCTGTTTTATTGGATGAATTCAAGTAGAAGCTAAACAGCCATCTGAGAACGGTGCTTTCACTTGGATTCCTGCATGAATCTTGAAGAACTTGGAGTCAATCCAAATCTACAATTCCCCGATTCTCTGATAACGAGCAGGGGAAATAAGTGAGCCCCCAAATAGTGGTGTTGAGGCGGTGAAAGCAAAATGACAATTCTGTCTAGGGCAATGTTTCTCAACCTTGGCAACTTGAAGATGAGTGGACTTCAGCTCCCAGAATTCCCTAGCCATTCCCCATGGCTGGCTGGGGAATTCTGGGAGTTG